CTTCTGGTTAGCATTCAAGTCCTTAGGCACTATGCTACCAGAGCCATTTTCCCTTTGAAGTTAATACAATTTGATGAATAAATATTTTAAATATTTTTCTTAAAATTATGTAAGTTAAAATAACTACAAAAAGTATATTATTTGTGAACATTTTATTAATGTGGAAAAAAAACTTACAACTTTAAGATAAATTTTAATAGCCAATTTATCAAGAACAAGAAAATATTCCCAATAATGGTTTCCACTTAAACATTCCCACTGACTCATATAGTTTAATTTCAATATAGGGGACACGAATTAAAAAATACAGGTCCAAAATCTGTGTCTTTAAAATTCTTTCCAAAATCCACTCACTGTCACAGTTATATAGATAAATTTCATAGCTTCCAGTTACATTATAGTTTACTATTTACTCCTATGTTGATTAACTTCTTACAAAAATAACTACTTTACAAAAAGTACTCTATGCCCACTCTATAAGTTCCACATTTACAACAACTTAGATTTACAGAATTACATGTGCCAGTGTTTCCTTGTCTATGCTCCAACTTATCTGGAGTTAAACCATTGCACCCCCACAACTGAGGATGTGATTCAACAAACAGACTGCTTGCTGAATCTTTCCCCTCTGTGCCCAATCACTCATCTCTCATTCGTGTGAAGCTGGAGTCTTGGGTCTTCCCTACCATGAAGGTCTCACTCTCAATCACTCTCCTCAGAGGATGAGACCAGAAGGTCCTCATAGAGGACACTTAATGGGAGATGATGGCAGTGTCTGTCAGACTTATCAACTCTTTGAGGGTTCTGAACAGGAGGCGCTGAATCCTCAGCAGGTAGACAGGTGGGAGACGTTGGGGACCTGGAGCTCCAACATCCATTGCCCAGCCTTGTGAAAATAATTCTGAGGGGCTGGCCTGGAACACGATCAGACGGTGGCAGTGGAAGGGTGGTGCTGGGTTGGACACTATTCGGTTGAGGTCCACTGTGTAGAGGCTGAAGCTTTATTCTGGGCTTCACAGCAGGGGTCTTCCTGGTCCCATGGGGTGCTCTTATGAGTCCAAATCCAGTTCGGTTGGATGGAGGCTGGCCAGCACCTGGATCAGATCTCTGAGTGCTCTGCCGCAGGGTCTCCAAGGGACTGGGTTTCATTTTCTTTGGGGGATTCTGGGAAGTCTGCACAGGGATCAGGGCAGACCTCTTTCTCGGTTCCTGGATGCTGATGGTAGAGCACTGGCCTCTTCTATGTGTGGCAGACTGTGGCCTGGAGGTTGAGTTCAGTTCAGGACCGTTGGTGTTGAGGACATGGCCCAGCACATGTGACTCTGAGGCTTCCTGGGGAAGGTCATGAGCTCGTTCATCAGGCCTGTTGTCTGTGTGCTGGGGTCTGAGAGTAGAGTCCTGGTCAAAACGCTTGGGTTTGAGGGTAGACTCCTGGGCCAAGTGCTTGGGTGCTGGGTGGGAGGAGGCAGTGATACGCACTGCACGTCCGGTATTTTGTCCATGAGGTGACAAGAACTTCTGGTCACGATTTTTGATAGGAGAAAATTCAGAGAAGATGGGTTTCAGGTCAGTTTTCCTTACAGGTGCTCTGTTTGGGAGAGCAGGGCCCTGGACAAATCTCTTGTTGGTTGTGTGGACGGGCATCGGCCTGCAGGGACGCTGTGGGAGGAGACACCATATCTTTCATTACTATTATATACAGGCCTTCCCAGCATTATGAACAAGTTCTCTTCTAACTCTGTCTTTCAGGACTATTTGTATGTATATCAGAACAGTTCGGTTTGGTTCTTATCTAATCTAATGTCCTTGAAATGTTTTTGTATTATATATGATATAATAATCATTTGTATTCATAACAACATTAAATAAACACATCCAGATACATGAAAACACCTTGAACATAATAATACAGTAATAATAATAAAGTTTGATGCACGTCTCAACGTACCACCCATTTGCTACTTAGAACCATTGTTTGGATCTCAAGTTTTTATTAAAATAGCATTTAGGTGGTGGGATCCTAATTATAGGTCACATGTAAGTAGCACATTTGTGACCTAGGGACTGTGTATACATAGGGATTTCCAGGAAGGCAAGAGGAAGATGAAAATCAACCAATCCTAAAAGCAGGGATCTTGTAAAACTTTATGAACAGTAGAAAAATTCAGACAGTCATTGTGTTCATGACCCAGCCTCAGTGATGATCAGGAGAAAATAAATTAGAATATCAACCTGACATACTGTTTCCACAAGACTTGAAAACATACAGTTTCTTAATATTGACTCTGGCTAAATTATGTGGAAACAAGCTCTTTCATGCAAACCTGTATGGAATGCACATGGTTAAAGCTGTTTCAACGGCAAGTTGCTGGTAATGTGCTTTGAAGAGATTTTTTTTGAAATATGTATTAAAATTTAAAGCAGCTCCATGGCATAGTGGGTAAGGCATTTGGTTGCAAACCAGAAGATCGGTGGTCAAACCCACCAGCTGCTCTGGGGGAGGAAGACGATGAGACAATCTTCTTCCATAAAGATTTACAGCTTTGGAAAGCCAGTGGGCATCGCTATGAGTGTAATTGACTCAGGAGCACTAGCTGTTTTTTGTTTGTTTGTTTGTTTGTATTATTGTGATTTCAAATATTAGTATGCTTGCATGTAGGATTCTATGTTCTGCCTACATGAGATTCACTTCCACATGTGCATAGAAATGCCCCTACTGGTATGTTTCTGGCAGAAACACAGTCATCTTAGTAAAATGGAAGGAACAACGGGGGTAATGGCATCTGAAATGTACACAAATAATTTAGACTATTATTGGTCAGAGGAGAATTTTGAAAATTCTTCCTCCAGAAGGGCACGGTAGTGAAGAAAATGAGAGTTGCACAGAGGAAAAAGGAGAACCTGGGTGATACTCACCCTTAGATAGCCCCAGGATTCTGAGGAATCATCCCAGTTTTGCTCGTGCATCACGTGGGGTCTCTGGGGACATTTCTGGAGTAGAGCTTTACTCGGATGCTCTTCTTGCCTGCAGGGAAAAAAAAGGAATAAAATAAATAAATACATGATAAGTGGACTTGATGCAACCTCCTGTCCCACCCTAAGAGAAAGACTCCTGGAGCCCAGGCCTATTAATATTTTGGGGATGAAGAAAGGATGAAACCACTGTGACCTTTTCCAAGACTGCCCTCATCTCAGATTCATCCTCCAACCCCTTTCAGCCCCTAATGATTTGTCCATTATGGACTTGACTTTGGACTCAGTTCCTTCTGTCCCTGCCAGGTGCAAAGTTCGAAGAGGAGTCCTGGCCCCATACCCTTTGTGCTACTCCAGACTAGAATGAACTCCTGAGTGTGGACACCTGGATGATATTGAACTCTTGTCAATTTCTCCCCAGTTGCTCTGTCCTTGTCTGAAACGGCTGGGCATGTAATATAGAGATGGAGATAAATCATCTCCTTCATTTCAATTCCCATGGACTGTCCATGTTCCTCACCTTTGTCCTTGTGCCTTCTCCCTTTCCATCTTCTTAAAGAGGCCTGGGGCCTGGGGTCCCTGGGGCTTCCTTGGCTCCACGTTCTCCTTCTTATTTGAGCCTAAGGCTTGGGGTACAACAGCCCTACCCCAGCACTTCATGGGGCACGTCTTGCTTCTTGCCGTGTGTCCAAAAGCCCCACAGTCCTTGCAATTCACCTGTGGGGGAATAAGAGAGTGTTTCGGCATAAGTCACAGGCAGCTTCCAAAAGTCAATATAATATCAAAGACCAGTAATTGGATGCTATTTTGGGGAGAGAACATCTGCCTAGGACCCATAATTTGTACAGAATTTCAGGATATTGTGACCTTGCCTCTGGCCGATGTTACAAGGAGGAAAGACAAGGGAGTAGAAGGATGAGGAATGTGAGACAGGTTTCAAGGACCTGAGAAACACAGAGTTGGAAAGGACCCAAAATCGGGAATAAGATTCCTCCTCAAAGAGTCAGAGTGGGCTATTTAATTGGGGACGAAGTCACAAGGCAGGCAGAGCAGCCTTGAGTGGGTAAGAACAACAGAGTTACAGACACAGACCTTTCCACCTGCACACCCTCCCTGTGGAATCCACCCAGCCCCTCTGGGTGCTGAGTGGTTCAAGCCTCGTCATACCTTGGGATCCTCCTCCACTGGTCTGGGAACCCTGGGTCCCACTGGTCTTTCTCTCCAACTGTAATACCAGTAGAAGCACTGCATAAGATTTCCAAGGCTATAATCTTTATGGACCA